CACCTCCAGTCACCCGCACCAGTGTCCCGCTCTCGCGCGACAGGGCCATCGCCACGGCGGCGTGCCAGGGGCGCGCCATGCGAGAAGGCGACCGGGCGAGGGAACCGCGCTCACGGGCAGTCTGCGGCCACGCCGCCTGCGCGCGAGCAGTCTACACTCCGCGCCCCCATCGGTAATGTGGACTTTCGCCGTGGGCGGTGGGCTACCCGGCGCGCTGCTCCCTTGGCCGACATCGCCCAGGCGCGATCCTGGACTGCGGCCACCACGAGGTTGGGAACAACAAACAGGAGGACAACGACTGATGGCTGGAGCTATACGTGCTGCTCTCGCGCGCCACGCGCCACGGGGGCCGCCTGCTCATGCGGGCGCCGCGCATCGACTCCTTCCTCGCTGGGCCGCCGGGATAAATCGCTCCACAGCGTTCCGGAGCGCTCTCAGAGCGTTCCGGAACGCTCTGGAGCGGCCGCGGCACCCCAATACATCCTCCAAACCCGCCGATTCTCATAGATTTCGAGTTATCCCGATCCGATGTTGTCCCGATCTTCGCGTCGTTTTAGAGAGCTTGCAGAAGCAGCTGGAGCAGCTTGCGGCGCGCACGAAACGCTACAGGAGAGAGGGGACAGCCCTTGCCAACGAGTTGGGCTTTACAGAGTTTATCCGCGAGGCATGACTTGAGGAGCGGCCAGCCCGAGCCTCGAAACTCTCTCGGGGCGACCGGCGCGCGTCGCGGGGACTCCGCGACGCGATGCCTCCAGGAATTGCCCCGCTCCCTGGCGCGCTCTGTCGAGCGCTTTGCCCTTTTGTGAGCCGACCGCTAAGTTTTTCTCAGTGCCGCGGACAACCCGCGCGCGTCGCCGGCCCCCCCCCACGGGGCGCCTGGCGCGCGTCGCAAGGGTTCCGCGCTGCGCTCGGCCCGCGGCCGCGGCCACCACGGCGCAAGGACAAAGGGAGGCGAAAGACGTGAGCTGGGAAGGACATTGAGACATAGCGGCCGCGCAAGGGGCTTGGCCCCATTACAGCGCTTCGTTGCTCCATAGGGAGCTCCACCGAAAGCCCCAGCGGTTGCGTCCACACGTGCCTCCCCAACCCAATGCAGCGTTTCGTAGCCCCGTGAGGAGCTCCCCTTGCTTCGTCACAGCTGACCTGCGGTACTCAAACCTGCATATGGTTGGGGCCTTCGCCAGGATAGTTTTCGTCTTCCCTCCATTTCCTATATGTTCCCATATTTTCCTGGGAGTCGACGATTCATTGTCTGTGTGTTTCTTTCCATTCTGAAAACCAAGGCCGTCCAGCGGCTCCAAGAGGTTCATTGCACCGACCTTGCAAACGTGTTGCAGCGGATTTGTGCGTGGATTTCTGTTAACACAAAATCCCGAAGAAGGCGAGCGACAAGCGAAGCGTATTTCACGTGAGTGTGTTGTAGTTTTCACTCCTGGCCCAAAACAATCCGCACGAAATTCCCTTCGAAATCCGGAACGACATTCTCCAGGACAGTCAGGGCACATCCATTTGTTTCCAGAACGAAATCCGAAGACAATCGCATTCAACTATCAGCACTTCGCTTGGTTGGTGTTTGGCCGTCCGCAGCAGACCCCGACCCACATGTTCCTTCTGCCTGTCCAGTGCACGCAGGCACTGGGGTGTACACCAGCGCTGTGTTGCACGCGAATGTTGTGGTGTACACAGGCGCTGTGGTGTGCACAGGCGCTGCGGTCCCAGACTCCCGACGCCATGAATTGTTCATGACGTCTACTCTCTAAGATATCGACCCATTCCCCGGGACAGGCTTCTCATCCTGAGTCGTTTTTTGACGGTCCCGTGGCCCAGTGAGGGCCCCAAGAGGCCGAAGACAGCGAACAGCCTCCCGTCGTGGTTTTTGTTCATGACCCGAGGGGGTCTGAGGTGCACGCAAGCACTGTGGTGTACACAGGCGGTGTCTTGCGAACGGCTGCTGCAGTGCACACATGAGGAGGAGGAGGAGGAGGAGGAGGAGGAGGAGGAGGAGGAGGAGGAGGAGTAGGAGGAGGAGGGAGAGGAGGAGGAGGAGGAGGAGGAGGTGCAGGACGAGGAGGAGGAAGAGTACCCCGAGCCCTTTGGGGCGGGACCCGAATTGGGGGCCGAGCAGTGTTCTTCGTCGGCGGCGAGGCAGAGGCAGTCCGCACCAGCGTGGGGCTAGCCACTCAAAACCGTGGACCTAAATCAGGCCACGGATTCACTGTGCTATTAGGTTAGGACTTGCAGTCTGCTTACAATCAAGACTGATAGTAGGGATGCGCGATGAGGATGGAAGCCCCTTGGGCGCCCAGCGTCGAAGCGTGCCGAGCAGGGTTGCATTATGCTTACAGTCATAACTGATTGCAAGGATGCGCGATGAGGATGAAGCCCCTTGGACGCCCAGCGTCGAAGCGAGCCGAGCGGGGCTGGCCATCGAGAATGGTCAAGGATGGAACGAAGAGGCAAGGATGCAGGGGGACCCTTGGAAAATCTGCCTTCCCCTATCAATGTCGACTGTGCTATGCTCAATCTAGCCGGCGAAAAAATAGTAGGAGATTAGCCTGGCGAAGGACCCAACCGTATGCAATTGTGATTACCGCAATTGTAACTATCTTCTTCAGTGGAGCTCCCTACGGGGCCACGAACCACGTGAGAGGTGTGCCGCCATGGGTGTGGGCGGCGCTTGGGGGCGGTGGCACTGGGGCCTTCGGTGGAGCTCCCTATGGGGCCACGAACCGTGTGAGGGGTGTGCCGAAGTGGGTGTGGCTGACGCATGCGGGCGGTGTCAGTGGGGCCTCCGGTGGAGCACTCTGTGGGGCCACGAAGCGTGTGAGGGGTGCGCCGAAGTGGGCGTGGCTGACGCATGCGGGCGGTGCCACTGGGGCCTTCGGTGGAGCACCCTATGGGGCCACAAAACGTGTGAGGGGTGTGCCAAAGTGGGTGTGGCAGACGCATGCGGGCGGTGCCACTGAGGCAGTCGGTGTAGCTCCACATGGAGCCACGAAACGTGTGAGGAGCGTGCTGATGCTGATGCTGATGATGATGTTGATGATAATGATGATGCTGATGATGATGATGTTGATGATGATGATGATGATTATGATGATGATGATGATGATGATGATGATGATGATGATGATGATGATGATGATGATGATGATGATGATGACGATGACGATGCTGACGATGCTGACGATGATTACGATGCTGACGATGATTACGATAATGATGATGACGATGACGATGCTGATGCTGGTGATGATGATGTTGATGACGATGACGATGACGATGGTGATGGTGATGATGATGATGATGATGATGATGTTGATGATGATGATGATGATGATGATGATGATGATGATGATGACGATGATGATGATGATGAGAACGGGAGGAGGGAGGAGGGTGAGAAGGAGAAGTGAGTGACGCGGGGCGCTGTCTCTTCAAAACGAGAACCCAACACCACAGGATGGTTGGGAATCAACTGTTCCGCCGTCGGGGACGCCTGCCCCCCAGGCGGCTGGCAAGTTTCTACCCCTGCGGTGGCACGCGCGTCAAGGCATAAACTTTTAAGCCGCCTGGATGGCAGGCGCCCCCGACGGCGGAAAAGTTTATTTTGCACTGCTCTTCGCCTGCTAGTCAACGTTTTCCGAGTCGGCGTTTCGACATTGCGCGAAAGCGGGGGGGGGGTCTGGCTCTAGACTTCTGCTGAATGACACAGTTTGCCGCAGTGCGTCCTATGTGAGAGACCCCGCCTGCTTGCAGCAGGCGCCCAAAACAGCCAAGATTTACTCCATGGGGGGGGGGGAGAGTGGGGGCGAGGGCCCGCGCCGATCGGCAAAACAATGAATAAGAAAGCGACCACTGAATGAATAAAGTCGGGGCGGCTCCTGGGGAAGGGTCCTGGGCCAGACCTTGAGCGGTCCTCTGGGCTGGGCGGGAGCACCGTCAGTCGGACATGTCCTTCTACTATTCTCGAATATTCCCCCTGTAGGGGGACATGCCCGACTTAAACCTTGAGCGGTCCTCTTGGGCTGGCTGGGAGCACTGCAGTCGCGTTTCCTTTGGGACGCCCGAAATAGGTACGGAGAACATGGGTACAATGCCCAACAACAAATGTTGCCCAAAACAGACAGCGGCTGCTGTTGTGCGGGCGGCTCCTTGTCTTCAATGAACCACGTCCGCGGCGGCGCGGACAGCAAGTCCTGCTCAAAATGAACAGGAACTGCTGTTGGGCATCGTACCCCACCTTTTGAGCAGGGACCGACCGTCCCGGCATTCCTAAGTCCTGCCACGAAATGTTCTTCGAACCCCAGAAATGTTCTAAGAACAAGAACAATGTTCTTAGAACACAAACCCGATGTGAGAAAAAAGGCAGTCCCAGCCGGAAATGTTCTAAGAATATTGCGGGGGAGCCACAACCGGGTTCTTAGAACATTCTTTGGTAGGACTACAGGCACGCCAGGACGCCTCGCCATTGCTTGAACCTTTCCGTACCCGTCGGTCGGAAGAAGTAGGCAGAAGCATGAAGTAGTGAGGCGGACGTAGCGGATTGGGTCCAGATCCTCCCAGAGAACAACAAGACACGGCAAGAGCGCGTCGATTCTTGAAGCAGGAAGGCGCTTGCAGCAGATTGGGGTCTGGGAATCCAAAAACACCTACTTGTAACCTCGTTAAAGGCTTAACGACTTCTGCCGTCCTTCGACTCGCGCTGGAGCGGCCGCGAAGTGCTCGAACTTTCCCTGGAGATCTCTGGATTTACCTGGATTTACCCAGATGTATCTAGATTTACATGGATTTACCACGATTTATCTGCATTTGCCTGGGTTTATCTGGCTCGATTCTCACAAGTCGATTGGCGAAAAGTCGACAAGCCCTTAGGGATAACCACCGGCCTGTACCCATTCCGATCGTCCCGCTGTCCTCGCCTCGACTGCAGGCCCCGCCGGCCCTCCGCGCGCCCTCCGCGGCGGCGCACCCGGGAGGCCGCGGGCCGGCGGGCGGGCCTCGACCAGTGGCAGGGGCCCCGCTCGCAGACGAAGTAGAGCACCTGCGCCGCTCGCCACGCCGGTCCTCCTCCTCCAGTCCTCCCCCCTGGGGGTGGGGGGGGGGCCCAGGAAGGGAGGGTCCTCCTCCTCCTCCTCCTTATCACTGCCTCCTCCTCCTCCTCCTCCTTATCACTGCCTCCTCCTCCTCCTCCTCCTCCTCCTCCTCCTCCTCGTCCTCCTCCTCCTCCCCCTCCTGGTCGTCGGCGATGTCTTTCAAGGTCGGCGGCGCCGGCCGTCAGGCCTTCACAATATAGAGCACATGCGGCGCCGGGCCCCATAGGACGAAGCCAGGACGAGGGCAGAATCGGGTTCGGATAAACTGGGAATCTCGGCTCTGGGGCAGGGCTGAACCCAAACGGTGTTTTACGTTTTCGTTTTGTTTTCGTTGTCCCTCGCTTTTGTTTCGAATCCGCACTTAACGCAAAACGACATCGAAACGAAAAAGGGCCCACGAAATCGCCAAAAACACCGTTTAGGTCCAGCCCTGCTCTCGGGGTTGTGCAATCAACCAGTATCATGAAGACGCGCGACAAGGATGCAAGGGCCTTGGAAGCTCATGTCGAAGTGCTTCGAATGGGGCGCGGCCGGCGAAGCGGGGCAAGGATGGATCGAGGAGGCAAGGATGCAAGGGTACCCTTGCGAAGGTTGGCCCTCCCTACTGAGCGGGTTGACTGTAGGACGAAGCCTGGACGAGGACAGAATCGGGCGAGGACACGTCGGGACTCTCTGAAGCCTGGCGGCCCTGGGGGACGTATCGGGCGCCGCGGGCCTTCTCAGAGCGTGCCGGAGCGCTCTGAGAGCGTTCCGGAACGCTCTGGAACGGATCGATCCTCGTCTTGGTCTCAGCCCCGTCCGACCCCACTCTGGACAAGCTGTTCTAGTCAGCAGGCGCAGGCGGGTCGAGGCCGGGGCAAGCGCCAGTCGGGCTGCGGGCGGGACGCGCCGGACAAGAATCGAGGCACGGTGGAGCGCGGGGAGAGCAGGGGGGAGGAGGAGCCACGGGTAGAGCGAGTAGAGCACCCGCGCCGCGGGGCCCCAACCCAGACAAGCAAGCCGAGCCCCGCCTTGTCGCTTCTCAAAAATGGCGCGCTCTCCATCGGCATCACTCCAGGCTGGCACTTCCTGTGCCTCCTCCTCCTCTTCCTCCTCCTCCAGCAAATATAAAAATGCAGATCGCTTCAGGTTGTGCTCGAGACTCTCAAACATACGGCGTTTGGGAACGCCAAAACATGCTCGCGGCGTAAAACGTCACGACGGAGGGCTTTTCGTAGTTCACGCCTACCTCTTGTTCACTGTTTTGCCACGTGCCTCCTGCAGAGGGGCACGCCCGACTGAAGGCTGGAGAACCGCCGAGAACCGACGAAGTAATCCCACCCCCCACGCTCCTCCTCCTCCTCCTCCTCCTCCTCCTCCTCCTCCTCCTCCTCCTCCTCCTCCTCCTCCTCCTCCTCCTCCTCCTCCTCCTCCTCCTCCTCCTCCTCCTCCTCCTCCTCCTCCTCCTCCTCCCCCTCCGAGAAACGACGAAATCGTCCCAACCCCCACGCTCGCACCTCGAGGGGGCGGCCGCGCTGGGCGACGGGCGCCAGGAGGCCCCCCCTCTCTGGCGGCGCCTCCGGGGCGCCGCCCGTGGCGCGCCCCTTGGCGCGCCAGAGAGGGGGGCCCAGCGCCAGTCGAAGAACTCCGCGCGGGCCTCGGATCTGGGGAGGAGGAGGAGGATGAGGATGAGGAGGAGAGGAGGAGGAGGAGGGAGGAGGAGGAGGAGGAGGAGGGAGGGAGGAGTGGGGAGGAGGAGGAGGAGGAGGAGGAGGAGGAGGAGGATGGAGGAGGAGGAGGAGGAGGAGGAGGAGGAGGAGGAGGAGGAGGAGGAGGACGAGGAGGAGGAGGAGGAGGAGGAGGAGGAGGAGGAGGGAGGGAGGCGGAGGAGGAGGAAAGAGGAAGGGGAGCGTTCTTGCTGATGCCGTCCGTCTCCTCTTCTTCGGAGGCGGGGCGGAGGGATGGGCGCCAGGAGCAGCCCGAAGCCGCCGTAGGCGTACAGCAGCGCGACGTTCTGGGCGCGGCGGCCCCGCACAGAACGCCCGCCGCCACCGACGCCGCCACCGCCGCCGACGCCGCCACCGCCGACCGCCGACCGCCGACGCCGACGACGTCGTCGACGACGCCGACGGCGGCGGGGACTGCGCAACGAGGGCGACAGCCGGCGGCGCCGACGGTGCGGACGGCGCACACGGCGTCGACGACCACGACGACGGCGGAAGACGGCGGCGGTCGACGACGCCCGCCACGACGACCGACGACCGTTGCGACCGGCGACGACCGACTGGCGGCTGGCAGCGGCGACTGGCAGCGGCGACGACGAGCTCGTCCCGCGCGCCGAGGTCGGGCGGCGCTCCGCCGCGGCCTCTCTGACGCGTTGGCCTCCCCGGGGCCTCGCAACGGGAGCAGGAGACAGACCTTCGGCGGCCCGCGCGGGCTTCCTGGACATTCTGGTGCTGGTCCTCGGGTGCGCGGCGAGTTCTGGCGAGTGCTGGGCCTCCTGGAGGAGCAGAAGGCAGCGCGGCGCAGACCAATGCCAGGCAACGCACAGCAGCGCACGATGACTGTGAGAGAGCTTGGCACGAGAGCTGCAGAACGCAGGGCATTTAGCATAACGCATCGTGCGACCGCAGCCCCTCTCCTCGAGCTCTTGACCAGCGGCCTGGCGCCGCGAGGACTCGAGCATTGGAAACAGAAATGCGGATCGTCGCAACTCTCGGCTTCGCTTGTCGCAGCAGTCGATCGCCGAGGCGAAGCTTGGCACCAAAACAGATGAGAACACACCGCCAGCCCGGGAACCAGGGAAGCGCGTGACCACGAGGCCCCAGCAGGCCCCCGGAGGGCCTCCCTCCGGTCTCTGGGCAGTTCCTGGCCACGGCAAGCCTCGGCTTCGAGTACGTTCCCCGACCTGCAGATCCGAGGAGCGGTCCGAGAAGCAGAGCCCCTCCTGAGCCAGAAGTGGTCCTTGACTCAACGTCTAGACACTGGAGCCTGTTTTATCTGATTCGCGATAACGAGCGTGATCGGGGGAGGGGCGGGGCAGTTCGTCTCCCCCGATCACGTCACGGCGCGGTTCCGCCGGAAATCTGTGGGAATCCTCAGAGAATCCGCAGGAAACTATGCACAAGTGGGCAAAAATAGCGTGAGGTGACCCGAGGGGGGGAGAGGTAGAGGGCCGATCACGGCCGTCATTACGGATTCAAAAACAAAGAAAAAACTCCTGGTGCTGATCCTGGCGACGACAGCCCTTGCTCGGGCGACTGGTGGCAGGGTCAAGATGCTGGCCAGACTGCTTCTGGCTCCGGTCGGCCTCGTCGCCTGGCGCGACTCGGCTGGTGGCACGGCCTCCCACGAGAGCCCCGATCCTGGAACCTCGAGCCTCGGCCCTCGGACGGAGGGCAACGAGAAGGGGGACAGGCATGCGGGGGGGAAACGTCGACCTGGAATCGGCGATGCATCGGCGATAGATCGGCGATGGGCCCCCGATAGTGCATCCGCACGCTCCTGGGCAGGTCGGGGCCATCGGGCCCCTATCGGCGATCAATGGGCGATTGGGGGTCGATGCATCCCTCCCCCAGGCCCATCCCCCCTATCGTTGCCCCTGATCGGACGGACGAAAGACGAAAAACGCGAACGGCCGAACCCAAAGCCCTGGGCCCCCCAAATCCAGACCCCTTTCTCCAAGGCGGGCCTTTCGTCCCGCGTCTTTGTCCTGGGGCCCGGCGAGGGCCCCCCGAGGCCGACAAGGGCCAGAAACCTTCCGTCGTGTTTTTTGTCCACGACGCGAGGATGTCTGGGGCGCTGGTCTTCGGGTCATAACTCGGGTCTCCGAGGGGCCGCTCGGAACGCTTTGGGCAGCTCTGTAACGCGCTCGGCGAGGAGCAGCTGCTGGGTTGCATCCCGAGGCAGGAACACCCCCAGGAACGGATGAAAACGAGCCTCGTCCTTCCTTGAGCATTCCCCCCGAGACGCCATTGCCAGAACGCACCCCGAGGCAAAAAACGACCACCACCCGACGGAAACATCAGAAGGCCCGGAAACCCCCGCCCCTCCTGAGCAGCTCCCTCGAGGCGCAGCTGACAGAACGCCTCCCGAGGCAAAAAGACCTATGGGACCTACGAAAGTAGTCGGAACACCATGGGAACCTGGTCCCCCCCTGAGCACATCCGCCCCAAAACGCTTGAGCAGGGGCCCATCGGCACGGCACTCCGATAGGCCTGCGTACCACGAAATGCTAGTGGAAAACCGCCGTCAGACTTCATGCATTTGGTGGAGAAGAGCTGTTGAGCTCAAAAAATTGCTCTTGGAAAGCAAGAATGTCCTGAGAACGCAGATTCCGATCTCAGAAGTTGGAACCGAGCGATGACAACGAGACCGTCTCGGCCAGAAATATTCCAAGAACGCCTCGATCAGGCCACAGAAGGCTCCCACAACCTTCTCTCGACCACCCAGCACGCTCCGCAGTTGCTGGAAGCGTCGGGCCATCCTTGGAGCCCTGTGGGGGACCTGCGGACCTGCCTGAGAACAGCAGCACGCCGCAGACGGACTTGCCGTCTACAGATGCATCCACCCTTAGGTCGGGCATGTCCCCCTACAGACGGATTTTGGGCGAAAAAATAACAATAGTCCAAAAATTATCCCAGTGCGCCCCTACCTAGGAGTTGGAGCCCCTAGGAAAGCAGCATTCGTAGTAACAGTAAAGTTAAGCTAAAGCTAAGCTAAAGCTAAGCTCAAGCTAAGCTCAAGCTAAGCTCAGGCTGAGCTCAGGCTAAGCTTAAGCTACGCTCAAGCGAAGCTCAAGCGAAGCTCAAGCTAAGCTACAGCTAAGCTAACGCTAAACTAAATTTAAGCTAAATCTAAGCTAAACCTGAACTAAAGCTAAGCTAAAGCTAAGCTCTAGCTAGCTCAAGCTAAGCTCAAGCTAAGCTCAAGCTAAGCTCAAGCTAAGCTCAAGCTAAGCTCAAGCTAAGCTCAAGCTAAGCTAAAGCTAAGCTAAAGCTAAGCTAAAGCTCAGCTAAAGCAAAGCTACAGCTAAGCTAACGCTAAGCTAAAGCTAAGCTACAGCTAAGCTACAGCTAAGCTAAAGCTAAGCTAAAGCTAAGCTAAAGCTAAGCTAAAGCTAAGCTAAAGCTAAGCTAAATCTAAGCTAAAGCTAAAGCTAAGCTAAAGCTAAGCTAAAGCTAAGCTAAAACTAAAGCTGAAGTTAAAGCTCCCAGGGGACTGGGGGAACCGCGGGGTGGATGCTGGGAGAACCGCCCGGGGCGACTTCCACTGCCCGGCCCTTCAAGCACATAGAGTAAGAACCCTTCTGGGCAGAGCCTGGGTAGGGAATAATCAAGACATGATTGCAAATAGTCAATATAAATAGTCCACGTACCATTTGTTTGATTATTTTTGAACATTACCCACTGTAGAGGAACAGGCCCGACTTCACCTTAGGGGCAGGCATGCCCCGCCCCCCCCCCAACCCACTGCTGGACCCTCGAACCTCGACCCCCGAGCCTGGAGCCTCGCCGGCGGAGGGCGGCGGACTGATGAAGGGACCCTGGGACACAAAAATAAATACACACAAGTAACAGGATTCGCCATATTTTCCTACATTTTCTTGGTTCTTGTCCTTCCCCCCCAAATTTCCCATAGCTTCCCATATTTTCTGGGGAATCGACGCTCAATTGCGTCTGTGTGTTTTTTCCCTCCTCGACTGAGGCGGAGGCACAAAAGAAACAGCATAGAAACAGAAACTGTCGACGGCCCGCGCAGATGTCTCGGGTCCGCGCCGGTCCCCCCCCTCCCTGGCGCGCGGAGCCGCCGCCGGGGGCGGCGCCGGAGACGCCGCCATGTGCGGCCCAGCGCCGATGCAAGAGCTCCGCGCGGGCCGTCGAGAGTTTCGGTTCTTGCAGTCTCCCTTGGCGGCGCGCACTAGGGGGGCAGGGGGCGGGGGGAAGGCGCCTTATACGAGGGCCACTTCTGAGGAGGCGAGGGACCTTCATCTACAGACGAGGCCTGCGCCCTCTCAGAAGCAGGGGTGCTTCTGAGAAGCCGTTCCCCCCTGCCCCTACACCCCCTGCGCGCCGCCAAGAAGGGGCAAGGGCCGAAGGGGCGAGGATGCAGGAGGAGGAGGAGGGAGAGGAGAGAGAGAGAGAATAACAATAATACTAAGAAGAGGAAGACAAATGATGATACGAGTGATAATAACACCAACAACCAAAAAACATAAAATGAAAAATGGTGATACTAATAGTAAAGGCAAGAAGAACCATACTAAGAAGAAGACGGATAATAATAATAATAATAATACTAATAATAATAATAATAGTAATAATAATAATAATACTAATGATAATAATACTAATAATAATAAAAATAATAATAATAATAATAATAAGACATACCAAGATGATGAGGAAGAGTAGGAAGAGAAGGAAGAGTGGGAGGGGGAGGAGGAGGAGGAGGAGAAGGAGGGTGGCTGACTCTTGTTCTTTCCCGGGGAGGGCGTCCGCGTCTTCAAAGATCTCGTCATCGTCGCCCATGGGCCCGCGCGCCCAGCGGGTCGCCGACGCGCCGCGCGCGGACGCGCGGCCCGACAGCCAGCCTCCAGAGGGGCGCCTCCGGGGGCGCCCCCCGGGGCGGGGCGAGTCCGAAGGGACGAAGAAAAGGAGGAGGAGGAGGAGGCAGGAGGCAGGAGGAGGAGGCAAGGCAGGAGGAGGCAGGAGGAGGCAAGGCAGGAGAAGGCAGGAGGCAGGAAGAAGAGGCAAGGCAGGAGGAGGCAAGGCAGGAGAAGGAGGAGGCAGGAGGAGGTGGAGGAGGGAGGCAGGAGTAGGAGGAGGCAGGAGGAGGAGGCAGGAGGAGGAGGCAGGAGGAGGAGGCAGGAGGAGGAGGCAGGAGGAGGAGGAGGAGGAGGCAGGAGGAGGAGGAGGAGAGGAGGAGGAGGAGGGGGAGGAGGAGGAGGAGGAGAGGAGGAGGAAGGGGGGGGGGAGGGGGAGGAGGAGGAGGAGGACGAGGAGGAGGAGGGCCTCTCCGGAGGGCCTCCGCAGGGGGGCCTCTCCGACGGCGCCCCTTCCGCGGGGCCCCGCGCGCGCCGCGGGGCGCCGCGCGGGCGCGCCGCGCGCCCCCCGCGCGGCCTTCGAGCGGCGGCGAGCGGCGGCGAGCGGCGGCGGGCCGCGCGCTGCGTCGCGAGGCCGCCGGTCGCCGGGCACGGCGCGCTCGGAGCTGCTCTCTGGTCGTCGTCGTCGTCGTCGTCGTCGCCGTCGTCGTCGTCGTCGGCGATCTTCTGGCCCGGGTCGCTCCAAACCCGGGCCAGTCAGGCCTTGCAGGATCCTACAGCATCCTGCGCCCAAACCCGGATCAACGCGAAGGATCCAGCAAGATCCTGCAAGATCCGGCGCTCTGGCTGACCCCTGTTTGCACCGACCCCCGTCTCTTGAGCTCCAAGGTGAGCAGGGACCGAGCGTGCCGGCGTGCCTACAGGCCTACCACGACATGTTCTCAGAACTGAAAAATTGTCCAACACCCTAGATCCATGTTCTTACACCAGAAACCCGAGGTCTTAGCATAGAACCAGACCGTTTTAGCAAAAGGTGTTTCACGTTATCGGTTCTCTGGAAGAAGAAACATGGCACAAGCGTAAACTGTTGGCGCCCAGCGCGGCCTCCCTGGATCTGCGCTGACCCCCTCTCCCTGGCGCGCGGAGCGCGCCAGGGGGCAGCGCCAGAGGCGCCGCCAGGGGGGCCCAAGCGGTGATCCAAGAAATCCGCGCAGAGAGCTAAAACTTGATTTGTATGCCGCTTTCTCTCCGTCGAACCGAGGCAAAGGTCTTTCACGTTCTCGCTTCTCGGGCCCAACCCCGGGCCTCGGGACGGTCCAGGATGGTACACCCTGCGAAATGCTTTAGAAATCATGGGTTAAGAAATTCATAGTCTCAGAATCTGAATGAATATCCAGAATGTCTATTCAAATCTTGGGATTTACATTGAAAAATTAGGAATAATCGAGACTCTGGCCGAAAACTTAGGTTTTCTTAAGCATCGCCTGTGGTGTAGAGCCAGTCCCGGGGAAGAGCTCTAGAAGTCGGGGGCCCGTGTCTCCCAAAAACCGAAAAACGCGGGATGTCTGGGACTTCGCCGTCGTCGTCGCCCAGCGTCTTCGAACGGGCGCCGCCGTCGTCGTCGTCATCGTCGTCGGTCGTGCGTCGTCCGTCGTGGACCACCCGCCGCCGTCGCCTGTCCGCCGTCGTTGTAGAGGATTCCCGGGGCGATCTGTGTCTGGTTTTCGGGTCATGCCCGGCTCTCCAGCGGCCGTTCGGGACGATCTGGGACCCCCGGAACGCCCTCGGCGAGGCGCAGCCGCTGGAAGGCACTCCGACTGGAAAACCGCTGAGAAACACGCCCAAACACCTCGAACCAAACATCTCGAAAGGAATAGCTCGAACAGGAAGCCAGACACTGACACAATACTGACACAGTCAGGAGCGATGCTCATCGACGAAGCTTATCGATGTGTAATCGCTGGTGAAGACGCGTGCACTGCTCGACCACTTTTAGCAAAGACCGGCGGCAAACCTGCGCGGAACGCTGACTTCGCTGCGCGATGGCGGGCGAAACGATTTCGCGCGCCCCCAGGAAGGCAAACGGAGGGGCCTGCAAGATGCCTGCCAAGCTACCAACAGCGCGCAGTCTTCACGCATTTCGGCAAGCCAGAATAGCAAAAGACGTTATGCAATTCTACAATGCCACGCAGGCCGCGACTTGCGTGAGATGTGCGGAAATACTGCGCGGAACTGATGTTTGTTGCGCGAGCTCCTTATCAATTTGATCCTTCTGCGCGCGCTCAATGCTATGTTCATAAAACCGTCCCATAACAGATGTCAATAACATGCAAGATATGCAAGACAATTCAAACAAAGGAACGCTCGTGGAACATTGGGTATTCATGATTCGTGGCGCTCCGCTTGTATAATGCGCACCACGTTGATGAAACGCACAACTTCGTGCGACGAATCAGAACTCCACTTATATGGCTGCGACGCAGGGACGGGCCCAGCGGGAGGCAGAGAAGACCTTGCTAGAGGCCAGTGCGTACCTCCCTGATCCTATCACCGCGAAGGGTGTTTAGAACCCCCCCAATGGGGGATAGCAAATGATTTTTCCGGCGGCCATGTTGAAGGACTGGGATCCCACCAGTAGGGGGTAACCAATCAGTCAATGTTTCCCGCGGCACCCGCCGCGCAACAACGACGACGACAGCTACGACTATGATTCCGACTGCGACTACGACGACTACTAGTAGGAGGGGGAGGAGAAACAGGAGGGGGAGAGGGGGGAGGAGGATGAGGTTTTGGACCAGTCCTGTTCAACGCCGATTGAAAAGCGGGGGGGGGCGAGGCTCTTAAATCAAAAAGGACCCTTCCACTCAAAACTTCTACGAAGAAATCTTCGAGTAAAAGATCGAGATCCCGCTTCGCTGAAATTCTTAACCTGCGCGAGCAAGCTTTGGAAATAATTGTCTTAACGCAGCGCGGCGCTCGTCTTGGTGGTTGCGATGAAGATTGGACTGGCGATTGTGCCGATGGATGGCGGTGTCAGGGGTTGCGCTAGCGGGGCGAGGCGGCGGTGTAGGGGGTTGCGGTAGCAGGTCGGGCTGAAGGGTTGAGATCATATCCGGAGGCAGATCTGCTGGAAGACCTGCGGGAACATCCAGCGCTAGATCTGGGGGGAGACTGGGGGGGCGATCTGGACGGAGATCTGGGGGAAGTGGGGGGAGATCTGGGGAACGAGCTGGAGGAAGATCTGAGGGCGGTCCAGAGAAAATCTGGAGGAAGATCTGGGGGGGGATGTGGGGCAGGTTCTGGAGGAAGATCAGGGAGAGGATCTCGAGGGAACTCCAAAGAAAGATCTGCGGGAAGATCCACAGCGAGATCTGAAGAAGAACCTAGAAAAAGATCCGGAGAAAGCTCGGGGGGATCTGGAGGTAGACAAGGGAAAGTATCTGGAAGATGATCTGGAGGATAACTTGGCGGGAGATCTGGGGAAAGATCAGGGGGGGATCTGATCGAGGATGCGGGCGAAGACCCCGGGGGGAAACACGGAGGATGCTCGGAAGGAAGACTTGGACCTGGAGGAACATCTGGAGGCATATTTGGGGAACGATCTGGGGGAAGACAGAAGGATGATTCGGATGAGAATCCCGAAGATCCCGAAGAACTGGAGGAACATCTGGAGGACGACCTGGGAGAACATCTTGGGAAGATCGGAGAGACGATCCAAAGCGACATCTGGAAGAAGATCTGGGAGCGATCTGGAGGAAGATCTAGGGGAACATCTGGGGAAAAAAATATAAGAAGATCTGGAGGAACAAACTGGGAGAAGATCCGGAATACAAATTCTGGACAATGATCCGAAGAAAGAACCGGTGAAGATCTGCAAAGAAGATACGACGGAACATTTGGAGGAAGATCTGAAGGAAGATCCAAATTCGGAAGATAATATGAGAGAAGATCCAGAGGAAGATCTGGGGGAAAATCTGCAGGAAGATCTCGTGAAGATCTAACATTAGATCTAGAAGAAGATCTGGATAAGGACCCGGAGGACAATCCGAGGAAGATCTGGAGGAAGATCTGGAGGAAGATCTGGAGGAAGATCTGGGGATGATCTGGAAGAAGATCCGGCGGCAAATCTGGAGGAAGAAATGGAGGAACATCTGAGGGAAGATCCAGAGCGAGATTTAGGAGAGAATCTGGGGGAATTGCACAGAAGATCCAGGGGATGCCTGGAAAGATCTGCGGTAATATCTGGAAAAAAATCTGGAGGAAGATCAAGAAGCAGACCAGGTGAAAGATCAGGGGAAAGATTTGCGGGACGATCCAGAGCAAGGTCTGGGGACAGATGCGGAGGAGGACCTGGGGAAAGGGCTGCAGGATGATCTGGGGAAAAATGCAGAAGACGTGGGGGAAATAGGAATGAACATATCTGGTAAAATGTATGGAGAAACATCTGGAGAAGATATGGAAGCAGATCTGGAGGAAGACCTGGAAGATGATCTGGAGAAAGATCCGCGGAAAGATCCAGAGCGAGACTACAAGGAAGATCTGGAGGAAGATTTGGGGTAAATCGGAAGAAAGATCTGGGAGAAGATCTGAAAGAAGATCTGGAGGAAAATCTGGAGGTAGATCTGGAGATCCGCGGAACGATCTGGAAGAAGCCAGGAGGGCGATTTGGAGGTTCCCGAAGAAGATCTGGAGGAGCATCCAAATGACGACCTGGGAGAACATCTGGGGAAGATCTGCGGGAAGATCAAAAGCGAGATCTGGAAAGGTCTGGGGGCGATCGGGAAGAAGATTTGGGGGAAGATCAGGGGCAAGATATGAGGGAACATCTGGGGGGAGATCTTCCTATCTTCCTTGAAAGAAAATCTGGAGGACGATCTGGGGAAGTTCTGCGGGAGCACGTGGAAAAAGACCCGGGATATATTATAGGGGAAGATCTGGCGAAGACTTGGGAAAGATCTGGGGCAAGATCTGGGGAAGGGTCTTGGGGGAGATCTGGGGCGAGATCCAAGGGGGACCTGGAGAAATATCTGAGGGGGAAGATCTGGGGGAAGATCTGAAGGAAGATCTGGGGGAGATCGTATGACACATCTGAAAGAGGGGCATGTGGAGAACAACATGAAGGATAACCGAGGGAGACTGTGGGAGAACCAGAACCTGAACTCAAAGAAACCATTATAAAAGCAGGTCTTCTAATACGTCCCGCTCGACGCCCTCATGGCATGACCAAACCAATGATTAAAGACATGATGGATTGGTGACTGGATCCTCGAAGCAGCTGCTGGGCATGCCGGCCTAACTGTTCGAACCCGGGGGGGAGAAAACCATAGGATGTCCGGACGAACGACGTCACCGACTGGGTACATTCAGCGACGAAACTAAGAGGAGGGGGCATGCCGACAACCGTGCGCTGGGAGATCTAGGGGGGGACCTGGGTGAACGAACGCTGAAACCTGGTCGACATATTTGACAGCGAAAACGAACGATGTGCGCCGCACGAAGTGCGACGAAGTTGCTGGAACCGAGCGGGTGCCAACACATAACTTGGGCACAATGCTCACGCACGAACAGTCACACAAT